GATATTGTTGCTGCGGAGGTACTAGATGATGCATTTGCATTTGTTGTTGAGATCGATAAAGATCTTGATATGGAGCCTGTTGTGATTGTTGTTGATATTGCTGCTGTTCTGGTATCTGCTGGTTTTGCTGATTCACAACCTCTTTCATAATATCTTGCGTCGAGTGAAATGCAGCATTTAACAAAGCTTGAGTTCCATCTTGAATATAATCTTCTTCATTTAATTGTTGATTTACATTCATATCTGTCATCTCTTCCGTTTGTAATTGCTGTTGAGAATAATGTGATATCGACTCATCCTGTCCAAGCTGATGATGCAATCGCAGCGTGTTCATCATTATTCGTAACACTTAATCCATGACCAGTACCAGATTTCTCACTTGCAGCTATCTTTTCTCTCTCTTTCTCCTTGGCAAGTTTTTCCTTTTCTTTCTCCTTTGCTGCTAATTTCTGCTTCTTTCGTTCTTCAGCTTTCTGAGCTTTTCCGATTCAATTTGTTTTACTTCATTAATATCAATCATTGTAATGCGACTTGTTTAAAACGTCCTGCATCGGCTGTACGTCGAATTTCGGATGATAGTTCACTCAAATTCTTCTTCCTCATCGAAAATTTTAATGTTTGATTCAATCGTGTTATTGACGACGTTGAAGCTGTTGAAGAAGGTACAAGTCCCGATGGTTGTGGTATTTGTGGTCGATAAAGAGGCTTTTTCACAGGTGAAACATTCATGTCCTCATCCTTATCATGACCATCGTCTTTGTCACCACTTACTGTAAAGTGTAAAGCAGCCGCTGATGTCGTTTGAGAACGTAGCGAAGTGTTCAATAAACCATTATCAAGCCAGAAGACGGAAACTCGTGTGATTGTGTCAAGGCCCCCTGTGGACCTCGGTCTTGAGTTCCTTGACCTTGATAGCATGGAATGCTGTCTAGTCTTAGAAATGGATGCAAGGCTAGACCTTATCCTTGGAATGTCATGGTTGGAACACCATGAGCCATGGATTGCTTTACGGTCGAAGACCTTAGGCGCTACGCGCACGTCTCCAGGTGGACTCTGATGAGTCGTGAACCCAACTTAGCTAGGAAGCAGAAGCGCCGATGGTGCGGGCACTGGATCGGGTGGTCAATGTGCTGAATATTGGTATATTCGAATTGTCAAACACCAACGATGATTTGGACAGAAATCTCGAGCGTGGCCCGCGGGCTGAACGTGGAGTGGCACGTAACCCGCTGAGCGCTGCTCAAGTATTGGAGCAGTCGCTCTATGCCAAGAGTGACATGGTCGGCCGAGGGCCAAGGCATCAAAGGGGAGGCCCTTGTGATGCATGTGGAGTGGAACGTAACCCGAGGTGAACTGCTCACGTTACGAAGCACTTGTTGCGTGCCAAGAGTGGCATGGTCGGACGTGGTCGGAGGCATCTTGGGCTAGGCTCTTCTGATGCGCGTGGAATGGCACTTTATCCAGTGGTCAAAGACAACGGAAATAGCAGCTATTCGTCGGATGTTGTTAATAACATCAAAGCTCCGATAGGACAGTAAGTGGACACTGGACGACGCTGAGTGCGTGTTCCCACGGTCTCGTCGAGATATAAAACCTTTGTGAAGAGGCGACAGCGACGCCGTATGCAAGCTGCAAGACGCCAAGTGTCCACCCTTACCTAGGATTTGTCAACTGTAGACAATAGCGCACAGCTATACACAGAAGATGGCGACGTCACCCTCGAGTTTATTGCTGCAGTGGATGCTCGTCGTGAGTTTGAAGAGATGTCCCACGAAAAGTTCGGCGGTGCCGTGAAAGCAGACAATTTAGCCGAAGTGGTCATTATACGACCGGAAGAGGAGATCAACTCGTCATCGCTTCTGAATGAAGCTGAGCTGGGGGACGCCACGAGGGTGCTACGAGTGGATCTTTGATCCTGAAGTTATCCTCGAATTCGTACTAGCCCTTTGTAAAGGAACTTCAAGACGTTGTTTCCAAAATCCCCGCCGTCGGTCCTACCTCCGGACCAAGGTGTTCGTCATGAGATCGATCTGGTTCCGGGAGCCAAATACTGCGAAATACGCGAATGACCTCTGCCCAAGGGTCAGTGTGACGTCATTGACACCTTTTTCCGCGCGAATCACGACGCAGGAATGGTGCGTGGGAGCAAGTCTCCCCATTCGACAACTTTTTTTTTATGCCCGGAAGCCGAACGGCAAGTGGCATATCGTTCAGGCTTACAATAAGTTCAACGCTGTCACCATCCGGCACAGACGGCGATTTAAAGGAAGGATGTTTTCCAGAACAACATGGTGGGATGTACGAAGTACAGGGTACGTGACTTGGTCGATGGGTATTACCAATTGCTTATGAGAGCGAATGATATTCCGCTGACAGCGGTGAGTACTCCGAGCGGTATGCTCTGAGGTGGCTGGTGATGCCTAAGGGCTGTCAAATGCGCTAGCAATATTTAATCGGCTTGTGACGCAATTGTTCAGGCCTCATTGGGCGTCTGCACACAGTCGTGCGGAGCACGGGAGGACCGATGAAGAGAACTACATCGTCAATTTACGAGCGGTGCTCGAGTACATGTGCACAAATAAGCTGTATGCTAATGCAGACAAGTGCATCTTCAACGCCGAAAAATTCCGTTTTTAGGGTGCTTTATTGGGAAGCGTGTCCTTCGAGTGGATCCCGCTAAGGTCAAGACCTTTGTGGACTGGCCGGTTTTGAAGATTCAAGATGACTTGCGCAAGTAGTTGGCGATGCCAATCCACTTGCTTCCGTACAACGAAATCTACGCAGAAATGCCACGGCCATTGTCGAATCTCCTCAAGAAGGATGCGGAATGGTGTTGAGACACCGAGCATCAATGGGATTTTGACAGGGTCAAAGACAGTCTCTTTCATGCACCAAATGCTAGCGTTTTTAGAGCCCGATCGTCCTTCTAGTATACCTGTGACGCTTCTGATTGTGTCATCGGCTGAGCACTACTGCAAGCAGATGCCGAGGGGCGAGATCGGATGTTCGCGTTCGAATCTTGCCTGCTTAAGGCTGCGAAAAATAACTACCCAGTCCATGTCAAGGAATGACATTCAATGAAGTATGCACTTGTCACGTTCAGGGTTCACCTGCTGAGCTCAAAGCCATTTGTGATCGACACAGATCATGCGGCACTACGCCAGCGACTCAGTCGCCTCACCTCTCGCAGAGGATGATCAGGCGGCTCCTATTCTTCGCAAAATATAACTTCGAGGTGATAAGCCAGGATGTAGAATGCTTTGGCCGATGCGTCGTCAGGCAAATCGGATAATGAGCTTGCTCATGTCATGACGGTGACGTCGTCCGTGACGCATTTCATCCGCGCCGCGTACGCGGGTAATGATATGTGCGTAGCGCTGCTACGAGCTCTTGAATTTGAAGACTCGAACAAGAAATTGTCGTCGCGACTGCATGCACAATTGCATCAACTCGACGGATACGCCACGAATTGTGATCCCTCACGATGAGAATTTGAAGTACCGTACCCTGTATGAGGCCCACGACACTCTACTCAGTGGTCATCTTGGTCGTGATGAGAGCTATAATCTGTACAAATGGACGAGCACCTATGTGCGAACGTGTGAGACGTATCAAAGAGTGAAACCATCTGCGAATGCGGCGGCGCCGCTGACCAGTTTGCCAATACCCTTCGGGTGTTGTGAGTCCATGAGTTTGGACTTTATGCCTGGCCTGCCGAAGGACTCGGCGAACAACACGCGTGTGATGATCTCCGTCGACCGTTTGAGAAAGATGGCTCACCATGCGGCGGTGCCAGACACCATCGACGGTTTCGGTACAGCGACGTTGTTATTTGGATTGTGCCTTTCGACAACATGGACTCCCGGAGTCCAATGTCTCTGTCAGAGACCCAAGCTTCACTGCGAAGTTTTGATCGACGATCTTGGTGCTGGGCACCAGGCTGGACATGTCAACAGCGGGTATCCGCAGACCGATGATCAAGCTGCTCGCGCGTGAATCGCGTCGTCGGGGACGTCCTTTGCAGAGTCTGCGTTTAGACTACGAGGCGCTAGAGCGCCATTCTGTCACTAGTAGAGTTCGCTCTGAACAATGCAATGCATTCATCTATCGACTACACGCCATTCTAAGTGAACGGATTTGTTTATCCTCACGTCCCGCTGACGCCGCCATCCCATGGTTTAGAGCTTGGTGGAGGAGTAATTGCCGAGCGGCTAGCTTATGTCAGCCCCTCTCTGTGCGTAAGGAGTCGATAACTTTCTGTCTACCAGACTGAGTATCTTACGACATGTTCGCGATGCAATGGCTGAAAGTCAAGACTTGCACACGGAGTATGCAAGAGGTATAGGAAATGTTAAAATCTTTGAGGCCGGAGACCTGGTTTTATTAAATGGTTTTATTAAACGCTAAAAACCTTCCTACTCATGCAATTTCTGCTGTCTTTAAGAAGAAACTCCGCCCACGGTCTTCCGAACTTTTCAAGGTTGTGGCCAAGCGGGGCCTTGTGTATACGCTCAACCTTCTCAAACGGATACGCACTCACCTGGTTTCTATGTGGGCTTGCTCAAGCCGTACCGAGATCCAACGCAAGTGGACGCGGAAGCATTGGCGCCAGAGCGGCGCCTACGACCTGTCAGAAGCTAAACCAGCAACTAATTTCCAGCACGGAGTGCAACGATCTCCATCTTCAACGTTGACAAGCGCTTCACCTTTACATGAAGCGACGCGTTCGTCAGATCAACGGCTAGGAGCCGCTCCAACAGAGCGCGATAGTCCCTTAACGTGAAACAACCGGATGCACATCGTGCTACAAGCTCTCGAAGTCTTCCGCTCAGCGCTATGCGACCCCAACATGACGCTCAGCGAAGTCACTATTGCGACATACCTCGTCCCTGAGAGCTCGAAGGAATCGCGAGTAACCGGACAGCTATCGACCCAGTCGTCATCAATCACCGCCGACTCTTCTCGACGAGAATGGTGGTGTCCACTATCACGTGGAACGTCTTGTGGGTCGACATCATCGCCAGGGTCAAACCCAGTATCTTGTGAAGTGGTGGAAATACCTCGACCTCGAGAACTCGAGGGAGTTTGAAGTACCACTTCGGCAAGACTGCCCAGAAGTCGATGACCAAAGGGATCATGACGTTCAGCGTCGTCGTACCCTCTGCGCCTCTCGGCTATAGCCAGGGAAGCCTGAGAGCCATGAGCTGAGCTCATGGCTCTTTGCTGCTGTGGTCGCAGACTCACCTGTGTGGGAGACCACATAGCTCGCGGGAGCGTGATGGATTGGTCTATGCGTTGCAGGGCGGCAATAAGAAGGAAGTAGGCGACGCGCCTTGGAATGGGCAAACTCGAACCGAAGATTGCGTTTCACGCGCTCGTCCACCTCCTTGTGGCTCCACTGTAAATTGGACAGCCAGAAAAGCTTCCGGTGCCTCTGCACCCATCGCTGTAAGAGTTCTTCGTCATCTGCATATTCTCTTCTCTTCTCTACTTCATTTCCTGCACGCGGAGCAATCTCGGAAAGCATGTCCGCGGCTTCAAAAGAAGTGCATCCCATGCATCCGGCAGCAGAGCACCGCGCACCGCGCTGACTTCGCGCTCAAAGAGGAGTCCCTCCTGTACCCGCGATGTGGACGATTCCTGTGGTGCTCGACCCTGGCGAAACCAATGCTCTGCCCGTGGGCGCTCTCGGAACCAGCGAGAATGGGTGTCATTCGTGTTCTAGACCGAGGACTTCTTGAGCAGAGATTGCGTGCAGAGAGTCTTGAGAATATAGAGGTGTCTTAGACGCGTGAGTCTCGAACGAGGCGACAATTAAATGTGAATTGTGGGTGTTCACATTTTTGATGGGAGAGAGTGTAACGGAGTTACACGAACCCTGGTATGAAGAAGTGGGTCACACAAGATGGTGTGACCATACAAGGTTGTGTATTACACAACGGTATAATCACACAATGGTGCGGCTATACCTTAACAAGAAATCAGTACGTAACTGGACTGCCAGAATTTATGGTTTTAATGAGGTCTTACTATTTAATTGGAAAAGCCTAAAGAATTATATGTAGGCGGCTTCAGCGAAAAAAACCCCGAGAATTACAGTTTACAGTTTGAATGGAATGGGTCAAGGTTGTGCTTACTCTTGGAGTAAGCGGATTGCGATCCGCTACAAAGGACACCAACCTTAGCTTTGCCTCCTCTAGCGAAAGAGCTACGGCAGTCTCTCAGTCTTTTTTTCTCTTCTCTTCTCTTCTAGAAGAAAAGAGAGGAGAAATGAAGAGAAGAGAAAGGAAGAGGACGTTATAATTTCTGGTCGGTGTCACAGATCTTACATTGGAGTTTACGGCAACAACACGCGCAGCTCGCCAGTATCATGTATATAAACAAAAGCTTTATTTACACAGAGAGAACAAGGCGACCGTGGTAAAATACGTCAAGAAAATTGTAAAGCTGTCTGTAACATTAACAGCAAGCGATGGCTGAGAGGAAAAAGAAGGTGATACAGCTACCCAGCACAAGTAGCAGCGGCAGTACCAGCAGTCACAAGCAGCCGAAGTGCACCGATAATTCGGCGGCTCGCTAGGAATGCGTGAGTGTAAAATGCGCACACAGGCGCTAAAAAAATCCATGCTAGCAATAGTTTCAACATCACCGTATATGAGCGAGTATAAACCAACAAAAGCAAATCCATGCCCAGCAGCTGTCGTGATGGCTGTACCAAGATAAAGAAAATCCCAGCGATCAAGAACCGAACGTCTTGCCCACAAAATTCAATTTCGAGCCGCAAGAAGCGTATTTCGTCGCTTGTGGCAATGATCAGGTACTGGGCGCTGGCCTCGGCCTCTCGATTATTGTCGAGAGGCCGAGGCCAGCGCATGGATCTACCGGCTGTGAAGGTCACTCTGGTGCTTTTTACCATGCGCTAGGGCCTGGTAGATACGGAGACATTCCGAACGCCCCCAACGAGTCATTGTGTGAGCATGGCGCGACGATCACAAATATTTTGGTTCCGGAAATCTGCAAAATACATTTTGGGCGTAGACAGGCTGGTCGAAAATGAAGCCAACTTCTGCACTCGCGCCTTGCTAAGCTAATGCTCAGCGCTGTATAAGCGACATGTGTTCTACTAAATGTGAGGCGGTGAACAATTTGATCGTTACTTTTGAAAATCTTGAAGCCCCGCGGGCGCGTCAGCAATCGACTTTGTGCTCTGAGATGATAAGCCTTGCTCTCTCTATCAAGAAGAGACAATTAGCGATCGCTTTCACATCAACGGATTACGGGACATCAGCTCGATATAGAGACGACTTCTACAACGTACAGCAAGATATTACAAAAAAAAGATGCTTCGTTCGTAGATCGCGCGCTGGCCTGACAAATAGGCATCCTTTTATATGTTGCCTGCTGTACGCAGCCCAACATTGCTTTTGCAGTGCATGAGTTACACGCCAGCCGCACGCACCGCGTTCACACGACTAGCCAAGAGAACTGCTCGATGCCTAAAGGAAATAGAGACACGAGAAGTCACGATGACTCCCGATCAAAACTGTTATCAAACAACCACAACTGAAAGGGTTTAATCGCCTTTGCAGTAGATCGAGTGGAGCGGAAGTCGCTGACGGTCGGTGTTTAGTGGCATGAGACTATGTTCGCGTGCGTAGGCAAGGTCGTGCGTTGCTCGCGATGAAGAAAGCTCAAATCGTTGCCGCAGAGATAGCGCGGAAAATGCTATGCTGATTTGATGACCAAGGCGCATGACGCTGATACTTTCATACAAATCAGCAAGAAGAATGCAATAGACGGTCATGGACGCTTAAAAAAAAATAGCGGAAAGCGCGTGTTGTTAGAAGCTGAAGGATTAGATACGCGATCTGCAGCGGGGTTGCCATGGCTCTTTGCTCAGAGGAAGCTAAGCTAAGGTCACAACCTTACGTGATTTACAAGAATCAGTACGAGTGCAGCGCATCGCAATCCACTGCCGAGTACTTAAAACCTTAGCCAAGGTAAATGGACTCTTTACTTGTTTTAGTTGCGGCACAGCCGCCAATATTTAAAGTTTTTTTTAACTAATATAGTAGAACCCAAAATACAGATTACTACTTTTACATTAGTCAAAATTACAATATTAGCCGTTTTGCTATCAGTGCGGACAAGTAACATGACACGAGAGATTGAAGCTGAGCCTTCTCGTATTCTCGAGCACATTTATCTTGGATCTCGAGCTCATGCACGTGATAAGAATCTTCTTCAACGTCTTCATATCACTCACATTCTTAACGTACGTTTGTAGCTGCTTATTTCAAGCATTTGACGTAATTTATTTCGACATTGCAGGTGACACCTCAAAAGGAAATGGATCCCGTTGCGGGAGTGCCTAATTTCTTTGAAAAGGACAAGACATTTATTTATCAACGCTGTTCAATATTTGACAATAAAGCACAAGATCTTTCAAGTGTCCTCGACTCTTCCATCACATTTATTGAGCAAGCGAAATACTATGGTATTGAAATCTCTTTCTTTGATTTCTAATTGTCATATAGAAGCTAAACACAATGCCAAGCATGGCATGGACTCGATTCTTTATTATCTTTATAGGTCGAATCCTTGTACATTGTAATAAAGGAGTGAGTCGCTCGACGTCAATGATTCTTGCATACCTTATTAAGTATCAAACCATGACATTCGATCAAGCCTTGACTTTTGTCATTGAACGTCATCCGATAGCAAATCCAAATGCCAACTTTCGACAACAATTGCACGAGTTTGAATGTCAAGTACATCGACAAGCGTCAAGCAAGAAAAGATCACGCGCTCTTTGTAATGCCAATGAAAAGAAAGATTCCGTCAAGTTCATTGGACCTCAATTGCCATATACATCAAACACTGATGACAATCGTACGACGAAACAATTGAAAACGGAGAATAAAGTGATTGGGCCAAGTCTTCCACCATCTAGTGAATCTTAACCATGAAGAAAAAAAGCGATTAACGACAAAAATCGACTACATTCCACTCTTTTTGATTAACTCGTGGTCATGCTGAGTTAAATCTGAGTCTCTCGTAGAATCAAACCTTCTTCTTGGTACGTAAAATCATCAAAATGATGTCCATCGCCATTTTTCTTGCCAACAGGCGAGTCAACAGCTGCCATGTTTTGAAACATTTCAGGTACGTTCGTTATATCGTCTACACTTGATACATCTGGGACAAAAGGAGGTTCAATCTCTTTTCGCATGAGTAAATCCCAATCAATTGGTTCAAAAAATGGATGTGCCATGATATCTCGTCCTCCATTTGGTCCACCTCCAAGACGTCGAGCTGGATCGCGATTTAGTAATTTGGAGATTAATGAACGTGCTACCGGCGAAATGTGTGACGGATAAATAACTTCCGACTGCATAATGTTTTTAAACATTTGACGACGATTTCGATCAACAAAAGGAGTACGTCCTGTAAGCATTTCAAACAAAAGAATGCCATAACTCCACCAATCGACTACTTTACCATACGGTTGATGCCGCAATAATTCAGGAGCCATATACTCTGCTGTACCACAAATGGTTTTCATTCCTGAATCAGCTTGAGACGCTCGAATGGCACCGTCAATCAATTGTCCTTCTTTTGATAATCCAAAATCCGTTAGCGCAATATTTCCTTTTGGATCCATGAGAATATTTTCCAATTTTAAATCACGGTAAGCAATTTGTTTGCTATGCAAATGCATTAATGCTGTCAACAATTGGGCCATGTACAACCGCGTTCGATCTTCGGCAAAACGTTTGGATTTACGCAAGTGGTAAAACATGGACCCCCCAGGATAATAATCCATAATCAGGTAAAGTTTTTCAGCATTTTGAAATGCATATCGTAATCGTACAATATACGGATGACTAATTTCTTTGAGAATGTGTTGCTCGGCTTTAGTATTTTCAATCTGATCGTTCTTGATAATATGAGACTTGACAAGAATCTTCATGGCATATATCTGCCCAGAATTCTTACCATCTTTCTTACGTACTAACAAGACTTTCCCAAAAGCTCCACGTCCTACTACTTTCAGTAGATCAAAATCAGTGATCGTAAGTGGTCGTTTCTCCGCTTCTTCTCTCTTACGCATCGCCTCAATGCGCTGTGCATGTTCTTCAAGTTTTGTTTGCGATGGTACTCTCGGACTAAGTGCTCCTGGACCTCCCATTCGTGGTAGTTTATTGTGCAGCATCATTTGAAGATCACAACATCCGGAACATACACGCTTGGGTTCACTAAATCCTGGTAAAAACAATCGATCGGAACATGAGGTACAAACAAGACGTAAACACATGCGACAATATCGACGTCGATGCAAGACAAACGTTGACTTGCAAAGATAACAAGCATTTTCGCCATCCTGAGCTGTATTATTCCCAGGTCGTTGCTGAGCTTCCAATGTCGGCATTCGATTGCCACGAATGAATGAATCACTACGAGCAACAAATGTGTCGTGTACCCACTCAAGTGTCAATTCCACTTCACCATTACCATGTGCAGTCGGGACCTTTTCATCTCGTAATGCAAACCATCGTCGATCTGCACGATTAAGTCCCACTTCACTCATTGTCACAACAACTTGACCAAGTGATGTATTAAGTGGAAACGATCGATCTTTAACTACAATCACGACTTTTGTTTCACTAGATGTAACAGGAAACGAAAAAGTTTGATTCCATTCCGGATCCATCGTATGTTTATGACTCCCAACCGTCTCTTTCTTCTGACCCACACATTGTACAATTGCAAATGGATTATTGTATGGTTGACCAGTTAATCGAGCACGATTGACTGTCACAATAAGTTTATTTGGAAACGTCGCACGAATCGCATGTAATGATTCTTCAATTCCACTTGCAATTGATTGTAAAAATACAAATGCTGATGTTTGAACCGAATGGACTGTCGACTCTCGTTTATTCGCTCCATTATTCGTACGTCCAACAGATAATGACGTACATCCAAGTCGTGCTTTCGACGTCTCAATCACAGTAAACATTGGTTCAGATGATGCTTCAAAATTCACTGCCTTGTCTCGCAATAATTCACGTAATCCATTACTATCATTTGACGCAAGATGATGTGCCGATTCAATAAATGCAATGCCACCAACACGAACGTATTCTTGTCGTGTTATTGTCGAGAGAAATGTTTTTAACAACATTCCAGCTTGGTCGTACACGATAAAACTAATTTCTTGCGCTGCATTAGGTACGATGTAATTTTTCCAGACATAAATGACATGATCTTCTGGAGTAGCCGAATGCAAGATTTTAGCACGATGTCCATTGACCATACAATAATTGGTACTTGGATTTAAAAGGACAACACCATATCCTCCTTGAATTGCAGTTTTTAAGTATGGAAGCATTGAACCTTGGAATCCCATTTTTGGATGAACAGTTCGACTCCACATTCCAGGTTGCATTCCTAATCAAAAACATGGAATTGTGACCTTAGTGAAAACATTCACGTGGACAAAAGCAAATGTTATAATACCATCGCCAGGTTGGAGAAACACACAGAGTTTTGAACACGCAGCGTAATTGGAAGAGACAAAGATATTACAACGAGCTTCAGCTTTGGAATTTGGAATGAAAATCTCGCGGAGATTCAATTCATTCTTGAGTTTTGTATGAATTTGAGCGATGAGTGTTTGCATGAGTTCTTCAACGTCTTCTTCACTTTTAAGACTAAAGTTTCGACCACCAGCTATAAGAAAAGATCGATCAGAAACTATCTTGATACATTTCATACGAGACACATGACGTACCTCGAGAACTTAAGCGCCGCATAATACGCAGCTCGGAAACTGACGCTGACGTTGGACGACGAAATTGGATTAAGTACGATCAGTTAAAAATTAGGTACAGAATTTAAAAATGTGGCAATGGCAAAACTCACCAGTGACAAAAAGTTGGTTCCGAGGTCAAGAAGTGCATGTGAAACGAGACGATGTGTTCCATTTGGCTGGGAACAAGGTACCATTGAGTTGCATATTGTCGAGTTATTTTTTGTAACTTTAATTGGTTCTTTTGCCTTGTGGCAGATGCGCAAACTTTGGTATTTTTTACGACAAAATGACATGTTTTATACCAAAACACACTTGGTAAGTTATGGTGGTTCACAGAGTAATGCCATGGTAGCAATGGCACAATTGGCCAATGTCAAACGTCTACCGTTTACGTACTTTAGTCGGACATTCAAGTCAAAAGACAATTCTATCGAAGGAAATCTGTTGCTGTCGAAGACACTGGGTATGCAACACATTCAGCTTCAACCTGACGTGTACCATGATCTTGTGAGCTCTCGCAACTTTTCAGCGTTCTTTAAGAGAGAGTGGCGTCCATCGTCAGATACAAAAATTCTTTGTGTGCCACAAGGAGTAGCAACTTTGGAGGCACAGGAAGGTGTAAAATTATTGGCACATGAGATCAACACTTACGTCCAAACATGTGGTACACTCTTTGCAGTTGTAATACCATGTGGTACTGGTACAACAGCTTTGTACCTTGCGCAACATTTGCATACCGACATTACGCTGTTTGCTATTCCATGTGTAGGGGACGCTGCGTTTCTAACCAAACAATTTCAGCAACTTATTGTTGAAGATCCATCGCTGGATATGAACTCGGTAGTATTTCCTCAAATTTTGAATCCAAAAGAAAAGAATCGGTTTGGACGACCATGGTGGCCATTGTACCACATGTACCATGAGTTACTGCAAGAGACTCAAGTGGATTTTGATTTGATCTACGGTGCTTTTGCTTGGTACACATTATTCTCAGATACTACGCAACTTGACAAAGTACTCAATTGTACCACATACAACAGCAAAAGACAATTTATGTATATTCACACAGGTGGTACAAGTGGCAATGCCACTATGTTGTCAAGGTATGAGCATAAAAATAAATCGTAATATTTCTAAACGACGCAAATATAAATTACCGATCTTTACGACGACTGTAACCCATTGTAAACCTCCTTCGCCTTACTAACGTCGCGACATAATGTCATTCCGTGAACTTCGTAATTTAACCGAAATGATGCGATCACTTGGATATCCACGCCCAATCTCAATGGAAAACTTTCGTCTTCCCAATTTTGAATTAGTTTCCGATCTTCTTTACTGGATGGTGAAAAAATACGAGCCAAGTGCAAATGTAAGCGAAGAAATTGATACAGAAGACGATCGTGTTGAGTTTTTAACGCAAGTGACTGTAGAAGTTCTTGCGAAAGCTCACATTCGTTTAAATCCAAAGAAATTATACGCAGCTGATGGATTTGCTGTGAAAGAATTATTGAAACTTGCTCAAGTGTTGTATGAAGCTTCTCGAATTGATTTCAACACAGCACAAGAAGTTGATGATGATGAAGATGAGAGTTCAATGAAATCTTTGCTTGGATCACGAATAAAAGATCCAAAAGCTACACGACAACTTGGTTCAGATCTTACACAAGCGGGTGCGAAACTTTATGATCTGTTAGAAACCGAACTGGATGTTCGAGAAGTACGACAACAGGCACTTCGTTTTTTAGATGCTTTAGCTACAACTTCCGAACATTCAAAGGAACAAAAGTATCTTGAACGAAGTATTCAAGAGATTCTTGTGACATTACAAGATAATGTTGAAAGGACGGAACGCCAAGTTGTGGAATTAGATGCTGAAGAGAAAGCTTTAGCAACTAAAATTCAAAAAGCACACACTGATCTTGAACGAAGTGAAAAGCGTTTAAAGAGTTTACAACATGTGCGTCCAGCGTTTATGGATGAATATGAAAAGCTCGAGATGGAGCTTGAACGACAGTATGCAATTTATTGCGAACGTTTTCGTAATCTTGATTATCTACAACGTGAGTTAGAATTACACAAAAGTCGGGAATTAAAGCAGTTGGTTGAAAACGATCGATCATTGAAAAAACTTCACAAGAAATTTCGAGATGATGAACTTGCGATTTTACGTGGAGAACAAGATGAACAGATGGAGAATTCCATAGTTGAGAAGATGGATAAGAATCGACGTCATGGAGACGAAAGAAATGGAACGAATCAACGAGAAGAAAGTGATTTGAACGATTCAGATGAAGAGAGTTTAGATGAACCAAGTGGTAGTAGTGAAGAAGAGAATTCAAGTGACGAGAGTCTTGAACATCGTGACAATGTACCAAGTGGATCAGACTCGGATCAAGTTTCTCTTGCAGATTCAGGTGAGCTCATTGATCAAGATGAAGACTCCGAATCAAGATCTGAAGTCTCAGGTTCAGGAGTCTCGGGCTCGGATACCAACTCGGACTCTTCAGATCAAGATTTTTAAAAAATATTACGTATGCATTTGGTTTTGAAATTTAACTTTGTAAAACTTACATCTGTAAGATTTACATTAAGCCAGCTCCGACTCTTCAGATCAAGATTTTTAGAAAATATTACGTTTCATTATAAATGCACATTTGGTTTTGAAATTTAACTTTGTAAACTTTACAATAAACTCCCCAAGTTCTTCTCCATGCCTTCCTCCCGATCCGACACTCAATTACTCGAGAAAGATGCGAGTTTTGATGCTTGGATGATACAAAAGTTGCGTTCTGATTGGAATGCACATGAGTTTGGTGGTCTCCTCACACCTTTAAAGCTTGCAGAGGCACGTACTCGTTTCTCGCATCAAGAGACGCTTATAAAAGTACGTGAATCGATTATTTTATTCGTTCAGTCTTGATGTTTGTCTTAACATTATATTGAATCAGGTTCGTCTCTTACTATCACTTTTAAGTATTCGATACGATGAAGTGAATGGTGTAAGCAGTAAGAAAGAAGTTCGAGCATTATTAGAAATAACAGAAAAGGATGGTGACGAGTGGGTTAAAGTGATTTCGGGGATTGTCAAGCAATTTCTCGAACTCGATACAAATGGACAATCCAGTGATTCTTATCATCATGCACAACTTGAAAATACAGTGTTAAAAGTAATTCAAGCAGTGGCAATTCCTTCTAAACGACACAAGAATAGCAATTTAATGATTCTCGATGACGTTTTCACGTTTGAAAATGGATTGTTGAACACTTCGCTACGTTCTCAAACGACACCAACGGCTGCTATACACTTTACAGTAAGTGGTGACAAAGACGATGGACATGATAAGGATGAAGACGTGGATGTTTCACCTGTGAAAAAGCCTCTTTATCGACCACAAATTCCACGACCATCGGGACTTGTACCTTCTTCAATAGCTTCAACGTCGTCAATAACACGATTGAATCAAACATCTAAATTTTCGATGGGGAAGAAGAATTTGAGTGAACTATCATCTGAAATTAGACGTAAAGCCGATGCAGGACGTTTTAAACGTCAGCGAAGTCGCATTTCAATGATTGATATTAATGAAGTGAAACAAATTGAATCGGAAAAAGCTCAGAAAGCTGAAGAACGAAAGAAGCAGAAATTAGCAGCAAAGGAGAAAGAAAAAGAAAAACTTGCCAAGGAGAAAGAGAGAGAAAAGATAGCTGCAAGTGAGAAAACTGGTACTGGTCATGGATTAAGTGTTACGAATAATGATGAACACGCTGCGATTGCGGCTGATATCTTTGCTATGCATCATCAACTTGGACAGGATGAGTCGATATCACATTATTCTCAACAGCAATTACAAATGGAAGAGATGACAGATATGAATGTAAATCAACAGTTAAATGAAGAAGATTATATTCAAGATGGAACTCAAGCTTTGTTAAATGCTGCATTTCACTCGACGCAAGATATTATGAAAGAGGTTGTGAATCAGCAAAACCAGCAGATACCAGAACAGCAGCAATATCAACAACAATCACAACAGGCTCCATATCAAGATCTA